GCACAGCAAAGGTTTATTTTTCTATATCATTATCTTTTTATGGAAAAACTTGTTCTAAACGTTTAAGGAAAGTATTGTATATGCTCAGTGATTTTCATGTCTAGGAGACTAATTTGCTTATAAAAATAAAAACAAAAACAGTTAAGGGCTGGGTTTGGTGGCTCACAACTGTAATCCAGCGAATAAGAAGGCAGAGACAAATCAATTTTAAGACCACTTCTTACTAAAAAACAAAATAAACCCAAAGGAACCAGGCATGTGGCTCAAATGGTAAGGGCCCTGAGTTTAATTCCTAGTGTCACAAAAATGATTTAATAAAAATAAAACAGAGCTGGGCATGGTAGTTCATGCTTATAATCCTAGCTATTTAGGAGAAAAGGATCTAGATTCATATCAGCCTGGGCAAGTTTGTAAGATACCTGTTTCAACTAAGAAACAACTGGGCACATTAGTATGCTTCTGTCATCCCTGCTACAACAGAAGCATAAACGGGAGGATGGAGGTTCAGGCTGGCTCCAGGCAAAAAGAAAAATAACAGAGGCAAAAAGGACTGCGGACACGGTTTAAGTAGCAAAGTGTCTCCTATCAAGCACAAAGTCCTGAAATCAAATCCCAATGCCCCAACAGCAACAAAAACAAACGAACAAACAAAAACAGAATTCATCAATTCTCAAAAAATAGAGGTTGGAAAAAATCAAGTTGCATATTTAATAAATTCAAACCTACAAATAAAGATATAAATAAAAGTCTGACAGATTTTATTCATTTCCAAAGCATCTACATCCACTGACTAGAAGTAAGAACTGACCAAGAATCTCATTTTTATTTTCTGGTATCTGTATTGGAACTCAGGACTTCCTGCTCTCACACAACTTGCTAGACTGGCATTCTACAACGTAAGCCAGCTTCACTCGCTACTGGTTAATTGGACATGGAGTTTCTCAAACTTTTCTGCTCCAGCTAAATTCCAACTTCAGTCCTACAGATCCCAGCCTCCTGAATAGCTAAGATTACAGGCACGAGACTCCAGCAGAGATAGCTTTATTTGAAAACATTCTGGACACTAGACAGCAAGTAGAATGAATCTGCCCAAATTGTTTCCAGCACTTTTCTATTCATTCCCTTCTTCAAATGTTAAAAGGGCTCCTTAAAGAATGTGTGCCACTTAGAATGGTGAAGTTCTCCCCATGGTAAAATTTTGCTCACCAATGTGTTGGGGTATCTGAGGAGGATGGGCTGCACCGGAACTCCTGGAATGAAGGCTCCTAGAACCACAGTGACATTTCACAGTGTCGTTTGCATGTACATAAAACCAAGAGTCACATAAACATTCATTACAATAGTATAAAGGCACTAATAGTTTAACAGTCCACATATCATAACCTATTGGCTAAAGTGTTTATCCAAGTGAGGATTCTTTTAAATTAAGATTTAAGCAAAATATTAAATGCTGAGACTAAGCCACATAAGCATTTATTTATTTATTCACTTGCGTTCACGTCCCAAATTATTCAACAAGATTTTTTAAGTAGTGACAAAAATAAATGCAAAGAGAAAATAAGAGTATCTGGATGAAACCAATTACTCAAAGCAAAACTGCTACACTGGCAGAAGTGAGACATAACTCAGACCCTGAGGACTCAGGCAGCCCATAGAAAAACCCTTAGTGTGTGCAGGAAAGCGGCATTCGGGTCATGCGGTCTTCCCACTATGCAAAAGGGAGTGAGCCGAGGAATGCAACGACAGATTCCAATGGTGCAACTCCTTTGACCAATTAACTTCCAGTTTAACAAAATGAATACCGGGAAGCTGGAACCTGGCGGGTGTGAGGTTAAGGGGAGGGGGCAGAGAATAATGGGAGGGAGGGTGAGTGAATGCAGTCATAGTCATCATATTCAATGCACATATGTGAAAATGGAAACAAGTAACTTCAGGGGATGGAGAATGCTAAGGGTAACACTGATCAAGATGTGTTGAACTTACAAACTGACATGTTGAGTTGAAACCCCTTTGTACTATTATTTAAAGATAAGAAAACAATAAAAAAAAGTTTTAATAAGAAGGATAATGAATTAAGATTTCAAGGAGAGGAAAAGTAGGGAGGGAAGGAAAAGAGGAGGGGAAAGACTTTACAAAGGAGTTATTATACTAAAACAGAAAGCAAAGGAGAAAGTTCTGTGGGATCAAAATGTCAAAAATGTTTCATCAGGAAGAAAGGCTCAGAGTAAACGCTAGTTATTTTGTGTTATTTTTGTGTTACATTTTGTGTTTGTTATTTTGTGTTTTGCATCCAAAGTATTGGAGAACTCTTTCACATTACTTCGTTACAGTACATAATTTAATTCATCTCACCTGGTTTAAAAGTAATCAAACAGGACCGATTAGTACAAGTTCCTTCTGGGAAAACTAGTATCTTGGGAGAAAAGGAATAGATTTAATAGTTCAGTCTAATTAATAGATGACTTCCTTACACACTTTCTATGACTTCACAGACAGCTACTTTAAAAACCAAAATGACATAATGAGTTGACATTGGATTCTAATGGCTGATCATTCTATTCTCTAAGAGAAGCATAATTGGACCATTAAGACAATGAGAAAATAGGTTTAAACTTTGAACCAACAATATACTTTATTGATAAAAGATCCTACATTTTTTCATAATGATGTTTTTGCTAATGATCTGTTTTTACTAAAGAAGACACAGAAAAGTATAAATCATGGTCCAGGCACGCACACCTTGTACACTATGTATATATCAGTGCTCCGATAATCTCTTATGTTGCTGCAGATTTCCTGTGAAATGCCAACTTCTCCCACAGCAGAGATAAGAGACATCATAGGACCAACGCTGTGCACTTCCTGAACTTGCACGGGGAGCACAATTGAATATATTGGGTCTGTTTTGTTTTGTATGAGAAAGTGTAGCTGCTTTGAATGCACTCCTTGTGAAAGATACATGCTATGGCTAGTTTCCCCATTATCTAAGTAAGACAGCAACCTTTCAGCTTCTGAAGCTTTTAAAAAAACTTAGTCACAAGTAAATTGCTAACAATGTAAAAGGAAGTCCCTGCAGTTACGGCAGTAAGCAATGTGTATTTCGCAATAAATAAGAGGGGAAATATTGTTGGGTGAAATGACTATAATCAGTTTATTTGTATTGTGAATTGCATCTTCCAATTTTTTGTTCTTTTTGGTTGTGGGGCTTGAACTCTGGCCCTGGGCACTGCCCCTCAGCTCTTCAGCTCAAGGCTAGCACTCTATCATTCTGGTTTTTTGGTGGTTAATTGGAGATAAGAATCTCACAGACTTTCCTGCCCGGGCTGGCTTTGAACTATGATCCTCAGACCTCAGCTTCCTGAGTAACTAGGATTACAGGCATGAGCACCTGTGCCCAGATGCATCTTCCAATTTTAAAAAAATGGGTCGCCTGGGACATTCATATACAATAACTAACCTGTTGTACTTAGTGGAAATCCAACATCTATATTACCACATTATAGGACTGAGTAGAGAGTAAAGTCTGACATCTCTGAGGGAAATTAGAAGCACCCTGCCAATAATTCTTTCAACAATTCTCCCCCAAGGGGGATTGCACAGTCAATGTCTGAATATCCTGAGGATTCCAAATCGTTCTACTTCTGGACAAAGGGAAAGTTCCCTCACAAGTTCAGCAAAGTAAATGGAAATCAACCTACTTGATACGTCTCATCTAGTAATCCTAGATCTATGTCTTGGATCCAAAGAGAAAAACCAAACCGTTGTAGCAAATGCCACCTTATCACAATCATTTATGAAATCATTGCTCACACGCCACCATTTCTAAAACCTTCTGGTCCTCCAATTCTTGGTACTGTGGCATCTACATGTCATCCTAGGCTCCCAGACCACAATGGGACTCTTAATCTACAATAGATCTCTTGTCTTCATCTGAGCAAAGAGAAGGATGCTTGTTAGAACCAGCCTGGCTTGCTGGGTAGTAAACATTGCCCTGCCTTACCCAGAGGAGACATTCTGGGCAAGCAGGTAGTAAAATAGCAAACCATGACAAAAGTTGCAGATGACTGTGACATGCTCCCTGGACTGCAAAGCACTGTCTACATGCATCTCCTCCAGAGACTGTACTTTTTATTTTTATTTTTTGGTCCAGTGCTGGGCGTTAAACACTGGGCCTGGCCGCTGTCCCTCAGCTCTTCAGCTCAAGGCGAGTGCTCTACTACTTGAGCCACAGTGCCACTACTGGTTTTCTGGTGGTTAATTAGAGATAAGAGTCTCATGGACTTTCCTGCCTGGGCTGGTTTCGAATTGTGATCCTCAGATCTCAGGCTCCTGAGTAGCTAGGATTACAGGCGTGAGCCACCAAAGTACAGACACTGTATTTTGTTAAATGCAATTGAGTTCTACTATCTCCTACACTATAGTACATGAGATATTCATATTACTTAATGATAATTAAAGTCAAAGATGGAGAATCCCTTTTTATAGCAGAAAGTAAAATTTGCCTTGAAGAGTCTGATGAATAAAAAAAAAATGAATGACACATTTCAGCCCATGGGAATATCGTGTGGGAAAGAAAATTTCTTTCTTTTTTTTAATTTGTGTGTGTATGTCCCAGTAATGGGGCTTGAACTTAGGTCCTGGGCACTGTCCTTGAGCTTCTTTTGCTTAAAGCTAGCACTCTACCACTTGAGCCATAATTCTACTTCTGGCTTTTTGGTAATTAATTGGAAATAAGGAAGTGTCAGAGACTTTTCTGCCCAGACTGGCTTTGAATCATGATCCTCGGACCTCAGCCTCCTGATTAACTAGGATTACAGGTATGAATCACCAGCTCCTGCCAAGAACTTCCTACTATTCCCCAGTTCATCCCGAGTCCCACATCCTGCATCCATTATGCTAAAGATGCCTAGTGCAGGAAATATCTGTGGATCCAAATGAGCAAGTCCACAGAGGTACAAGACACTGCCAACAGAAGTCAACCAACAACTGCTGAATTTTACCTGGGGCCATTCCCCTCCTGATGTGGCTCGCTTTATTATCTCATTGATTGTGTTTTTTCGAGAATCCGGATCTACACGGGACACCAACACTGGCTGCACAGCCCGTAACAGTCCTTTAAATAAACACAAAAATCACAATCCAGTGAGTCATGTTTTGGCTAAAGCCACCATGGCAATAACACCAGATAAATGACAAATTATAAAACAAACTTTTTATGAAACATCAAAATGATAGTAAATCAAAGATAACAAGCAAAAAAAAAAAAACCATTCCAACTCAAAGTTTACCAGCATTTAGATTCTACTTTTAAAAGAAAAGGTGGATATGTATACCTAAAATTATTTCATTTTTCTAACCAACGTAAGCAACAAGAATATGGAAAGCAGTTCCTGTGGTTCTCCCTCAACTGACATGGCACTTTGGAATATGTGATGCAATTTTCTTGTTTGATTTTAAGAAGACGTGAAAAATTGGGGAAATGAATTCATGGTACACATTAGTAAGAGGCAATCACTATATATTTTACTGCAATTTTCAGCATAACAACAGTCTTCTAAACAGCTTCCTGGGACATGCAAGATCAACCTCAATTTACCAAAAATCTGTGGCTTTCCCACAATTTTTCAGAATAAAAGTCTCATTGCACAAAGCAATGGAATTACACACTGAAGATAAAGATCTGTCTTAGGAGAATGACAAGGCTACATGATCTCTCCAGAGAAGATTATCTGCCTTATTATCTCTCCAGAGCCACCAGATGACATTGAGAAACTTTTACCACCACTCTCCCATCACTCCTATCATAATAACCTTGGGACATCTGGGAGCCTGGAATCCGTTACTGGGAGACTGAGTCCCTTAGGGAAAGAGTAAAGCATCTGGTAGAAAAACATCGCCCTGGCTTCATTGTTGTCAATGGCAGAAACTACCTATTGTTCTATATCATAATTTGCAAAGACATACAGATCCTTCAGGCAGATTTGGGGTATAATCATAAAGCAGGATAAAAATATGAGCTTAATACTCTGGAGAGAAATTCATAAGACAGCATGCACCTAGTGTTGGGGGGGTGTTTTGTTTTGTTATTTTTGCCAGTTCTTTGGTTAAATTCTTCCTCAAGCCTGCTTAGGACATGGCAGGTAGTCTTCCTAGCTCTAAGTAACATGAACAAGTTAGAAAGTTTAGTGATACAAGTAAGCTTTAGAGAAAATAATAAAGCTACAGAGAAGGCCAGTGTTTGATTTATTATTATTATTATTATTATTATGCTAGTCCTGGGGCTTGAACTCAGGGCTTAGGCACTGTCCCTGAACTTATTTTGCTCAAGGCTAGCACTCTGCCACTTGAGCTACAGTGCCACTTCCGGCTTTTTCTGCTTATGTGGTATGGAGGAATTGAACCCAGGGCTTCATGCATGCTGGGCAAGCACTCTACCACTAACCCACATTCCCAGCCCTTGATTTATTTTTTGCTACAAATTCTTTCTTTCTATCCACTCACTCTTTCCATATAGTAGTTCATTATAGTCAAAGGAAATAATATTTTAAACGTTCTATAGTTTTAAAAAGGATTATCAAAACCTATATATGGCTGAATACAGTATCTCATGCCTATAATCCTAACTAGGAGGCTGAGATCTGAGGGTTGTGTTTTGAAGCCAGCCCAGGCAAGAAAGTTCATGAGATTCTTATCTCTAATTAAGCACTAAAAGAGCCAAAAGTAGAGTGTGGTTCAAGGGGTAGAATGCTAGCCTTGAGCCTCAGGTCTAGCACCAATACACACACACATAATGATAATATACATTTTATAATATTATTACCATATATGCTATTATATGTTTATATAATTTAATAAATATTACTATATATTAATACATTAATATACACATTAATATGTTATATAATATGTATTTATATTGTATATAACAATATACAGTATAATATATATGAAATATAATATATAAAACATGTATTATAAAACATATCATATATAATATAATATACAACTATTGCATAATATAATCTTATGTAATATTATATTAGATATAATATATGATAACATATATTTAATATATATCATTAAGTATTTCTTTTAGTTGAAAGAACTATCTCATATATTACTTACATATGATATATAAATATATTGTGTTTATATATTACATTTATATTATGTGTTGTACAGTAGATAGTATATAATTATATTTATTATAGTGTTATACGCTTATTATACTATATGGTATATATTGTCAATTATGCATTATATATATATTTCTTTTAGATGAAAGTATGACCATAGAAAGTACTTACTGCCAATCAGAGGGGTATATGCATTCTCATTGCGAGACACCAGGGAAGGTAATCCTGCCACAACACAAGCAATTCCGTCAAAGAATGTTGAATGAGGAGCGACAACAAAAATTGGTGCTTCCAAAGGACTGGCAATCTTTCCTTTCACAGTAACTAGAAATCCCATTGAGAAGAACAAGGCACGACCCAGAAACTTCAAAGCTGGGTGAGTAATTTTCCTACAAAAATAAATACAGAAAAAGACATAATTAGCTTCTGGAATTAAAGCTAGCTAGCTTTACTCTGCAAGACAATGAGGAAACCCAAACATGCCAGAAAATGTCACTTAAAATAGGAGGAAAAAAGACTAACAGCTAACATTTTCCTGAAGCCAGGCACTATTCTAAATGCTTACCTATAATAATGTGGTTTATCTTTTTTCCAGTACCAGGGGCTGAACTCAGGAACTTGTACTTGCTCTCCTGGCACATTACCACTTAAATCATGCCTCCATCATGGCTTTTGGTTAGTTAATTGGAGATGGAGTCATCGAAGGTTTTCTGCTCAGGCTAACCTCAACCATGATTCTCCAGATCTCAGCCTCCTGAGTGGTTAGGATTACAGGCATGAGCCATGGCATCTGGCTCCTCTATTAACTTGTAATTGACAGCCTAATGTGATGAAGTGCTCATGATGATACATGGTACTTATATTAAGTACTTCTTATCATCATATGTTTTCTAATTACTAAGTAGTACTTATTATTCTCATTTTGCAGATAAGAAAAACAAGGCACAAAAAAATAAGGCAAATTCTTGAGCACAAGAATGTATAGCAACTAAATGGACACATGATTATAGAACCATAAAATGACAGAGGTGAATTTTCAATGTGCATCCCACACTCAGACCATGCAAGCCCATAAACACAGTGCTGCCATCTTCCCACATTGGGAAGCCTGGTGCTGGGTTATTTTAGGAACAAATTTTGGAACTAAATCTTATCTCCACTGTCATAGTGCTTAGATATCATCAAAAATTTCAGAAGTAAAACTGCCACCTGGTTTTCATGAAACACACACACACACACACACACACACACACACACACACACACACACACACACACACACACACTGAGAGAATGCTAGCATTTGGTGACTCACATCAGTCCTTCAGAGGACTGTAGTTGGAAGTCAACTAGGTAGAAAAGTCCTTGAGACTTCATCTCCAAAATAACCAGCCAAAAAGCTGGGCTGGAGGTATGGCTCAAGTGTTAGAGTGTCAGCTAAGCCAGCAAGGAGAACAAGTTCAGGACCCTGGGTTCAAAACCTGCTCCTAGGGCTGGGAATGTGGCTCAGTGGCAGAGTGCTTGCCTTGCATGCATGAAGTCCTGGGTTGCATTCCTCCATACCACATATACAGGAAAAGCCAGAAGTGATGCTGTGGCTCAAGTGGTAGAGTGCTAGCCTTGAACAAAAGAAGCTCAGGGACAGTACCCAGGCTCAAAGTTCAAGCCCCAGAACTGGCCAAAAAAAAAACCTGGTCTAGAAAAAAAAATGATTCTACTATTACATTAATTAATCAAGCTGTGCAGGACATGTAAGACAAGTAAGACAAGTTCCTGATTTCATAAGCTCAAGAAAAACACTCTGAGACATTTACGTTCCTCCAGTGGAATGGTTATCTCAGTAAGTAAATAACACAAAGTTTGCCTGAAAAGTAAAATGACGTATGTGTGGTCCTCCCTCCCTATGTGTGGGAAATAGTCCCAGGAAGCCTGAGGGGTTAAGACAACTCTCAGATGCTCAAGTCTTTATATAGCATGATGGAGCATTGCACATAGCCCATATATCTCTTCCAGTAAACTTTAGACCATCTCTAGATTACTTATGATAGCTAAGCCAATGAAATGCGGTGTGAGCATTGTTTAGAGAACAGTATCACTGGAAAATGCTTTTACATACTCAGTATAGATGTCATTTTATTTCTGAGTATCTGTGGTCTACAGTGGGTTAAATCTGAGGGTGTGAAACCTGTAGATAAGGAGGGCTGAGAATGTGTCACTTACCAGGTAACTAACAAGAACTTAAAAATACATTTCCAGTCTAGTGCTGGAGCCTCACACTTGTAATCCTAACAACTCAGGAGACAGAGATCTGAAGATCCAGGTTTAAAACAAGACATGGTAGAAAAAGCCCCAGAAACTCTATCTCCAATTAACTAGCAAAATGCCAGACTGGGAGCATGGCTTAAGCAGTAGCATGCCAGCTGTGAGCAAGAAAGCTGAGCAAGAGCTCAAGAGCAAGAGCTCAAGTCCCTGAGTTCAAGCCCCAGTATTGGTCCAAATAAATAAAAGTAAAGTTAAAAAAATGGAGGTGGGGAATTCCACAGACTAAAAGGGACAGATGGCTCAGGTTTCTCTCCTATGCCAAATCTAGACGTTTGTGTGTGAGGAAGGGGTGGGGCAGGGAGAGGAAAGTAGAAGGGGGTTGCTTGGGTAGGGGAAGGGTTCCATCAGCAGGGGAAGAAGGGACAAGAGAATCTGATATGAGGTCCAAGGTGACTGTGATCAAAGTGTATCATATAAATGTATGAAAATGTCACAACCAACCCCATAACTCGGAAGCTAGGTGCCGGTGGTTCATGCCTACTCAGAAATCTGAGATCTGAAGACCTCTGTTCGAAGCCAGCCCAGACAAGAGAGTCAGTCAGACTCTTATCTTCAAAGGACCACCAAAAAGCTGGAAGTGGAGCTGTGGCTCAAGTGGTAGAGCACTAGCCTTGTGAAAAGAAGTTCAGAGGGCTGGGAAGATGGCTCAGTGGTAGAGTGCTTGCCTTGCATGCCTGAGGCCCTGGGTTCGATTCCTCAGCACCACATAAGCAAAAAAGAAAAAAGCCAGAAGTGGCGCTGTGGCTCAAGTGGTAGAGCGCTAGCCTTGAGCTAAAGAGCTGAGGGACAGCACCCAGGCCTAGAGTTCAGGACCCAAGATTGGCACACACACACACACACACTCTCTCTCTCTCTCTCTCTCTCTCTCTCTCTCTCTCTGTTGCTCTGTCTCTGTCTCTGTCTCTGAGTCTGTCTCTGTCTCTCTCTCTCTTTCTCTCTCTCTATATATACATATATATGTAAGACAGTACAATAAACAAGAACTTAAAGAGACTTAAATGAGCTTTCAGTCTCGTCATTGTCTTAGCCATGGTGTAAAATGCAGTAAAGTATTCTCTGAGGAAGTTTCTGTGACTGTAATTTCACAAGAAGTAGAAGTGACTCAGCACACACACTTGTGGTCGGAGGGAAGGTTTGCGCCTCCCTTCTTCCCCTTTCCTTTAGAGCTGAGAGCTCTGTTCATACAGGCAGGCACACAAAGGACTCCATCTCCACACTTCTCATTTTTAAAAATCTATACAGGGGTGGGGAATATCTGGGCTGTGGGCTACATAAAGGCCCATGAAATCATTTGACACAATATGGGACACATATGCTTCTCATTGGCTGCCTGAGCTGACAATTTTGTAAGGCCCGCGGATGATGTCATAAATATCAGAATGGGCCATGACAGAAAAAAGGTTCTACAGACCTGATGCATGGGTGCAGCTTCTTATACATCTGCTACAAAACGCCGTGTATTCAGTCATTAGCATTGCTCTTTAGATGTTTAGAAAACTGGCTAAAAGCCAGCTGCTGACAGCTCACACCTGTAATCCTAGCTACTTGGGAGGCTGAAAGCTGAGGATCATGGTTTGAAGCCAGCCCTGGCAGGAAAGTCTATGACACTCTTATCTCCAACTAACCTGAAAAGAGCTGGATTTGGGGCTGGGCTTAAGTAGTAGAGTGCCATCTTTGAGTAAAAATCCCAAGTAAATGCTCCAGGGCCTAAGTTTTAAGCCTCAGTACCAGTACACATACATGCACACACACACACACACACACACACACACACACAAGCTAAAAAAAAATCTGGTGCCACATACTAACTACATCTGTCTGAGAGGGGACGCACGAGAATAGTGCTTTAATTGACAAAAGTAGAACTTCTTCTTCTGCAACAAAAACAATAAAAACACAAACAAAAGGAAACTGTCCTTTTCTAATATTTATTTTGTTTGCAGTACCCTTAGGCCATCCCTCTCATCATCTTCAATTTTCATAAGCACCTAATAACAGAATATTCTGCACACATGTTATGTATAAAGGAATGAGTCAAGCCACCCTTGAATGTGGTTTTCAACCACACACCCTTGAGTTCTAGAACAAAGGAGTGTGTCATGCAACAACTGAGCATTCTCTGGGGCATTGACAGCACTGGTCTATGTTCACGCTAACTCTGTTTCATACTAACATTTGCTCATCAAAATATGAAACAAATATTAAACCCCACATTTTTTTAAAGCTTTCTTTTTTGGGCACGGGCGAGGAGGTGTCTGGTATCAGGGCTTGAACTCGGGGCCTTCTGCTCTCACATGGCTTTTCCCTCTACCACTTGCCATCACAGCATTTTGGCAGTAATTAGAAACAGGACTAGAGTCTGGGCTGGCTTTGAACTGCTACCATCAGATCTCAGCCTCCAGAGAAGCTAGGAGTACATATGTGAGCCATCAGAACCAGCTGCTTTAGAAACTTCCCAGAACAGTGTTTCTCAGAAAGTTTGAAGGATATATTCGCTTTAGTTATTTCTCTACATGAAGTCTCAGAGTATCTTTGCTCTGGAGGAGGGAGCCCTGGACAAATGGGAGCCACCATCTCCCTACTTATATATCCTGCATAGTTGAAAGCCAGGCACATTGCTGTACCACACTTACTTGTTATGATGGGGGTCACACGGCCTTTTAGTCTAGCTGGCCTGATTTTCCTGATCTCTACATTCTAAATAAAGTGGTATTACAGGTATGAGTAGCCACACACTCAGTCTCTGTTCATTCTTGGTCTTTTCTCTGAAACCATCCATACTGGATAATGCTTGAGACTCAGTTCCATCCCTTCAGTGCTGATATTTAAAAACACTAAATTAAACTGATTAATACCTAAAGCATTGTTAATAATAATCACTAAGTAATTAACAAAAATTACATAATTAATCCACACAATCACGCCTCTGCAGAAAGCATAATACTACTATGGGAAGACAAGAGTCAGGTATGAAAGTTGAAGAAAAGCAACTTAGAAGATGCCATCTTTTCAGATATACTAACAGAGTATCCTTCAGGACTATCTATCATTTTCTTTTGTTCAACAACCCAGCAGAACCTTTTTTTTTTTTTTTTTGCTGGTCCTATGGCTTAAACTCAGGGCCTGGATGCTATCCCTGAGCTTCTCTTACTCAAGGCTAGGACTCTGCCACTTGAGCCACAGTGCCACTTCCAGCTTTTTCTATTCATGTGGTAGTGAGGAATCAAACCCAGGGCTTCATGCATGCTCAGCAGGCACTCTACCACAGAATCGTTTAACAGAAGGCCATCTGAATGTGATGTGCAGTTATTTCTACATAAATTAAAGCCAGTTTCATCTGTCAAAAATGAATTATTAAAACTGAGTGGGTGGATACTCAAGCTTATCATTGACTAAACCATCATAAACTATTTTTGAACTCGCATTTGGAGACAGTCCTCCCTTACCTCCTCCAGTCGGTTATTGGATGGGTCAGCTTTTCAGGGCAACACGCAGTAGCCACTGCAGCAAATGGCCATGCCAGTAATAAGACAAATGCCACCATCAAGGCACGCAGGGGAAGCAGGATGATTCCAAGAAGGAAAATCTGAAAGTCAAAGTAAGAAACAGATGCATGGCTGTGATTTTAACACAACATGCTATCAAGCAGAACCACATAACAGGAATGTTTTATGCTAATCATGCATTCTCTCAAGGAAGAACTGAATGCTATCTTGTATCAGAAAAAGGCTTACATGCAAAGAAAAATCAGAAATGGCATCTGACCTCACAAAGCCTACTTCAGGCAAAAGGAAAGGGGAAGGAAGCCACACGACCATCTAATCTACGCATGGATAAAGGGGACTCGAGGATGCGGACAGGCATAGAAAAGGTGTGCCTGACTTGGTTAGCCAGGACTTGGTTAGTTGTTACCTGGATGGTCTTTGCAAGCAGATATTATCAGGGTAAAGAAGGGTGATTGCTTTGGGGGATACAAGTAGGAGGAAGAGTGTGAATGAAGATATGGGTGTGTGAAGAAGTAAAGGCACTTTTATTCACTTTTCAACCCTCTGAAACTAATAAGTGAATGAAGAAAAGAATACAAATAGCAATGGAAAGTACATAAATCAGAATAGCAAATAGTATGTGAAAGCTTATTACATGTCAGGTACTATAAGCATGTAATTTATTTAGTTCCTCCAACCTAATATTGTTTTACACAAAAGAAGTAATGACACAAGTATAAACTGAGTTGCTAAATAATGTTATGTGGTTAGAAAATGTCAGAATCTGAACTCAGTTTCATTATAAAGGCTTAACTCATAGTCCTTATACTACCCTGCCTGTTAAATGAAATAAACAGTGGTTAACTGCAACACTGATGTTGTCTTCATTCTATAAGCCAATGATGCTACTCAAACAGGGTCTTCCTTTTATTTCAACTAGCTATTATAAGAATCTGAGCATCATTCAATAACTTTCAAAAATGTCAAAAATCTTCTAGTAATCTGATCTCAGCCATGGTCCTAGTGACTATAGTTTTAAAATAAGACTTGGAATCAGGAAATGTGTCCTCTAAACTTTTCTCCTTCAATGTTGCTTTTGAAATGTATTCTAGATCCTTTGCATTTCCACTTAAGTTTAGAGTTGTCAATTTCCATGTAATCCACATAATCCTATTAAGATTTGTATAGGTTATTGTGGAAGAACTGTCATTATAATAATATTGATTCTTCCAACTCATAAATATGAGTTACCTTTCATTTTTGTAAGTCTTCGTAACTCTCAAAGAACTATTTTGTTGTTCCCAATGTAATAGGCTTGTGAGGTTGAAGTGAAATAGATACCTAAGTATTTGATATTATTTTATTGCTATGCTATAAGTATTACTTATTTCATTTTATACTTGTTTGCTGGTAGGATATAGGCATTTAGTTGATTTTCTTTCTTTTCTTTTTTCTTTTGTTGTTGTTTTGTTGATCCTGGGGCTTAAACTCAAGGCTTGGGAACTATCCCTAAGCTTTTTCACTCAAGGCAAGTGCTCTACCACAGTGAACCACAGCTCCACTTCTGTTTTTTTTTTTTTATGTTTTATTAGAGATAAGAGTCTCACAGATTTTCCTGCCTGAGCTGGCTTCAAACTGTGATCCTCAGATCTCAGCCTTCTAAGTAGCCAGGATTATAGGCATGAGCCTCCAGTGCCTGGCTCATTTCTTTTTGTTCAGACAAAAAGAACTGAGACTTGAACCAGGTATCTGACACATGCTTTCATTAAGTGGCTGGTGCTCAATAACCTAAGCCACATCTCTGACCCTATGAAGTTGATTTTTAAGTTTAGGTCTTATAGCTTATGACCTAGCCAAGTTGACATCTTAATTCAATAGCTGGTTGTTCTGTAGATTCCTTTGGAAGTTATTCCTATACAATCATGTTGTCTGTGAGTAAAGACAGTTATAGTTGTTGTTTTTCTTTCTAATCTAAAGCCTCCTGTTTACTTTTCTTATCATATTGTATTGGTTAGCACCACTATGCAATGTTAAATAGAAATGGCAAGCAAGGTACTTACATTGTTTTAATACTTGGGTATAGAGGTTCAATATTTCACCATTACATTCCTGTTTGTACTTTATAGATGCCCTGTATCACACTGAGCATTTCCTTTTATTCTTTCTTATCCTTAGTGGGCACTGAATGTGACCTCATTAGCCTCCTAAATTTTCATATGTACTGAGATGACTATGTTTTTTTCCCATATGTCTGGTGACATGGTGAATTACACTGAAATTGAAATTTGTATATGTAAAGAACCCTTGTTTTCTAGAAATAAACCAAACTTTGGGTGTGAGACATGATCCTTTCTGAAAGTGCTGTATTTTACTTGCTGGTATTTGGTTAAAAGTTCTCATATCTCTGATCGTGAAAGCTATTGGTTCTTACTTTCTTTTCCTGTGTTGTCTTTTTCTGATTTTGGTATCATGCAATTCTAATTACATATAACTAGTTGGAAATTGTTCCATCCTTCTTTTCTTTTTGAAAGACCTTGGTTATGTGTCCTTGACATGTTCCTAAATATCTTATTATTTATGTCATATAATCTTGGCAATCTTTCAAATGTGGATGCAGGTGGGAGGGTGCATATGGTATATATTAAAAATTCACACTCTTGCTAGGTCCTGGTAGCTCATGCCTGTAATCCTAGCTACTTTGGAGGCTGAGCTCTGAGCATCATGTTGAAAGCCAACCCAGGCAGGAAAAGTCCATGACACTCTTTTCTGCAATTAATCACCAAAAAGCACGAAGTGGAGCTATGGCTTGAGTGGTAGAGTGCTAGCCTTGAGCAAAAAGCCCAGAGATAGTGCCCAGACTCTGAGTTCAAGCCACAGGACCTGGGATTGGTACATGGGTATGCGCACCTATGCATGTGCACACAGAAATACACACACACACACACACACACACACACTTCACTCTTTCATAAAAGTCTGCTAATATTCTTGTGTATTTTTAGTTTTTAGTTGTTAATAATGTCCTCTTGGTAAGCATTATGTAATGACGTGTACTTTCATACCTGATGCTTGTGATCTGTATTTTCTCTAGTAATGGTAGGGATGTTATTAACCTATTCTACAAATATACTAACAAAAGGGTTAACTTCATTAATTTTCTTTGTGGTTTGTTTTCTCTTTTGTTGATTATTGCCCTTATATTCATTTCCTTTACTTAAGGGTGTGTGTGTATGGGTGTGTATCTTTCATTATTGATGATTTCTAATATAATGTTTTGCAGTCAGAGAGCATGTGTGTAGTGTTTCAATCTTTGGAAAATTATTGGGATTTTTTACAGCTCAGCACTTAGTCTATTTTGATAAGCACAGTACGTATACTGAAAGGCAGATTCTGCAATTAGAGAGGGGTGGCTAGTGTTCCAAATGTCAATTCCGTCAAGGTGATCATCGACATTGTTTGAATCTTCAATGCAGTTTCATTTTAATCTCTGGCTTCATCATCCTATTTTATTAAGTTAGCATCCTCAGTTATGTTAATATAGAGCTCTTGATTTTGTTTCATACTTTCAACGCTGCATAAACATTGTGCTAAGTTTTTCTAATTGATTGCCCTTTCTGTTTTACAAAACATCCCTCTTGATATAACACAACACATCTTGAATTCTATTTTATCTGTTGTGAATATAGTAAAATCAGCATTTTACTCTTAGGGTTTTCCTAGTAGATTTTCTTCCATTTTATCTACGTTTATATTGAAATTTTCTGGGTCTTATATTTTATCGAGTTTGATATTGTCCTTTCAATTGGAAGGTTCGATTTGCATATTCTTAATGTAATTATTGATGTTTTGGGATACAGGCTTTTGGTTTTGCTATCTCTTTTCTGCATGTCTCATATGTTTATATTTCTCCATTTTTCTTTTTCTGCTTTCTTTTAGGGGATGGGGAGGTGAAGGGCTCAGAACAGTGTCTCCCAGGCTAGCCTTGAACTTGCTACATAGTCCAGGCTGGCCTCCTACTTCAGCCTCCCAAGAGCTGGGCTGCAGAGAGCATCTATATGTGTTCTGTAAAGTCCATTCAGTGACGTTTTCATTTCAAACATATTACTTTCAGTTTTAGCATGCCATTTGGTTCTCCTTTATGAAAGTTTCTCTTTCTCTTCAGGAGTTCCTGCCAAGTATTTACTTGTTATAATCATCTTCTTTTACATCCTTGAGCATGTTTAAAATAGCTCCCTCCAAAGAGCTACTTACAAACAAATTCCTACATACATTATTTTTCTATATACCTACTTCTGTAAATGGTTAGCTCTACTTTTTCTCTTGACCTAGGCCCATTACTTTATTTCTCTGAATTTCCATTATGTTTTTTAATTGCCCATTTTGAATACTATATTGCAAATACCTAGATTCTGTTACTTTCTTCTGAAGAGTGTTGATCTCCCCCATGCCCAGCAGGTAGGTAAATTTCCAGTCAATTAATACCACTTGGTAGAGGTTTGGTTTTATATTTTGCTAGAAAATTGGGGAGGTGGGAGGAATCTGCTCCTAATCTGAGACTGAAGACTTAGTCCTAGAACACAGCTCTTCTCCTAGGACACTGTCTCTGTGAGGTTGTCTTGTAAAGTCCGGGGTGCTCACTGAGGTCCTCTTCCTTGCTGGGGCTCTAACTATAATTGCCCTATTGTAAACACCAGTCCAAATGTCCTGTCAGCTTCTTCATCCCTCTGTTGTTGCTTCCTCTAGGATCCTTGCAGGCTCCTGTGCTAATATACACTTTGAGGATTGAACAAAGATGAGAGGAATTCACATACCAATTTGTGCTTAGCTTCTTACCCTGCATTCTGCCCTCTGTCCTATATACTCCTTTGCCCTCTGTCCTCTGCCTCAACAGACTTAGGGCTTATGAGACCAAGAATCTGCTCCTATGGTGTCAAGAGAACTCTCAGGACAAAAAGAGGAGTGGAGAGAAATTTCACATAATACCGATAACATTCTTACAAGAAACAATTCCTCCTCAAGTTTCTGTCTTATTTTTCGCCCTCCAGAGTGCCTTCATATAGATGTTGTACTTTAAAATTATAATTTGTATGATT